TTTTTTTTTTTTTTTTTTTTTTTTTTTTTTTTTTTTTTTTTTTTTTTTTTTTTGTCACACTGCGGTTCCGAATGTGTCCTAATGAGGCTGCTGGGCTTGAGGCTAAGCGCTCCCTTATCCTTGAATTATTGACTCTCGTCGTTGTCAATCGTGTGCCTCTGCTTTCGTTAATGCGCCATAGCTCCCATATATAACGGAGCTTTGATGTTACGGGATTGGAGTTGTCGGTGTGTAGGTAGGCCCGACACTTTGGAAAAAGTACCTATTTATCCTCGATATGTCTGCAACGCATTCCAATGCGTTTAACGGTTTAAAATTAATAAAAAGGCACGAGTTACAGTTTTTCATTTTTTTGCTGTACAGTTTTTTTTTTTGCTGAAAATTCAATGCTTTATTTGTCTTGAAAACGTTTTTTATTAATCACTACTTCCAACATGTGGTTTAACAAAATTTTTTCCACCAGCAAAAATTGAAAGAGGAAACAATTTAGAAGAAAATAATTGTCAAAGTATGTACATATTTTGATATCCAAAACATAATTGCACTCATCTGCTCGAAAGAATATAACTTTCTCAGTGTTTGACTCACTTTAATCAAGAAAAAAAAACTTTTCTTTTCAAGCCTTTCAAAATCCATAAAGTAATCACGCCCAAGTCTGACTATATTATAAACTCCCTTCAAAGATATGATATAAGGTGCTCTCTCAACGCAAATCACTTGGATAAACATCAACATTGTCCCAGGAGTGCGGGGCGTCGGTTCTGTTTAATCAAAAGGATCCAACTTTCGGGTCTTTTGATATCGTTCGTTTGACGGCGGAACTTAAATTTCGTTTCATTCTATGCTAAAACGCTTGCGCTGCTCTTCACGGTTATATATACGCAAACGAAACGAGAAAATCAAGATTCTCATCAAACTTTGCAAGTTTGCGTTACACACCTCCACCACCTTCGGTGGAGATATGATAATGATGATGATAGTTTGCGGGTGGTACTAAGCAGATTCCTAATTTGTCACACCAGAGGGGAAGAATGTAGTAATTTTGTCTTTTATATATTATATTATATATGTGCGATGCATCGAGTTCAGAGGAATTTCGGCGACTCGTCTTCTTAGAGTAAACTCCCATTGGCCTTTACGAGGGGAGAAAGTTGAATTTGACGAAGATACAGGCTGGCTGGGGGGGGGGGGGAAGCGTCAAACGTCGGTGGGTCGAGGGAATTTGTCGGGGACAATTTTCCCCGGCGCGAAGTTTGTCACGTCGAGCTCTCCTCGAGGTATCGAATCAAGTTGGACGAAAATTCAAAGGAGCAGCGTGCATCCGCACACGTCGGGGATGATAAAAAAGCAGATGGCATAAGAGGGCGCGGACAAATTGGAGCCGGCGGGAAAACGAGGCCGCCTTGGTTCGCCGAAAAGAAAAAAAAAAGATTGGACGGGAAAGCTGCTTGCGCGTGTGCGGGTACGAGCGCGATTTGGTGGAAAACGAGGCATGAGGGAGAGCCTACACCGGAGGGTGACTCGCTTTCACGCTCGATGAGATCCGTGGTACGGAGTGTGTATAGAAGAAGAAAAAAAAATAAATAAAGAGTGTAATATTGCCACATGTTCAACTGGACTTTTTTTTCCTTACTTTCGGTTTAGTTGGTACGGAAAAATCGTCGAATTTACTAATACATCATTCGGCACAAAGATTTTTCAACGCTTTGGGGTAGAATGTATTTTTCAAAATATCCAAGTAATGCATTACTTTTGCTGGAAAAATTCTTGGTCATCCCAACTTACGACACAATAACCGCAACATGAATTATTTATATTTTTATTGAGGACAGAACCTACAGCCATACAAATGCCTTCTTCAAATACTTCGACCCCCTCTTTTTCATTACAAAAATTGTGCCAATTACCGTATTCCAATACAAATTGTATAAACTCGGAGTAATGGACAAGGTGCCTCTCAATGATCCAGCAACAAATATTTGATTTATAACGTGATGATGAAAGAAAAAAAAAAAAAAGGTTTGCGTACCAATGACGGTGAGATTGACGTTGGAGTTGCGAGTCTGGCCGAAGCGAAACTCGACCCGGCACCTGTACATGCCCGCGTCGTCCTCGCGCACGTTGTCGATGCCAAGCTGGGCCGGCTGCTTGTGCAGCTCAAAGTGCGCCCTGTTCCAGAACACCTTCTCGTCGGACCAGTGCTGCGCCAAACTGAAGTCCCGGTCACGTGCGTCCACACTGCAAACAACAACCCGCACAGCGATCGATCAGAGCTCGTGTTCACGTGTATACATGTAATCATATAATTCTGTCATGATAATGCTTTTTTTTCCCCTATCAAACGCCAATTATAAAGTTTATTTATTCGGGAATAGGTACAATATTTTACAGTAGTAAGTCAATTTCAGGTGGTTTCGGCGAACAGTGCAAAATAAACTACCGCCGCTTGGATATCACACAAACATATATTACATGGACCGATTGTCTCACTACACTGTATACCTTGATGGGTCGAGAGCTGCTATTAATTACAAGCTGGCACGTGTGGGGGCTCCCCTTCTCTCTTGGGGTCTCGTCTTGCTATATGTGTTACAAAAAGCTGTACTTACAGAGAGAGAAGTAATACAGCAATGGAAAGTGGCGACGATTTGACGACGGTGGTGATAATAACCAGGAGCAGCGATGAATTTTTCTTTTGTCAGTTCTCTCTCTCCCTCGGTTCGCTCGAGAGGAGGAAGGCGCCGGAGCAAAGAAAAAAACACACACACACCCGCCACCCAAATCCGAAAAGAGCAAACATAAATCCCGAGTGTTGAGGTGGTGTTTGTTATCCTACGGCTCGAGCGTTTACTCGGGGGTGGGGGAGGGATATGGCAACGCCGAGGGAGAGATCGATTCTGGAACGGAGAGGGACTGCTTTTTTTTCGGTGGAGGCGCAGGACACGAGCCAGCATCAGGGCGCTCGGGAGACCATGTCACGAGGAGGGAGAAAGCGAGGGGGTGTGTTAGCTGCTGCGGGGTAATGCACTCGGCCCGTGACGAGCGCCCGCGCGGGGCTAAAACAGAGAGAGCCCCGACCGCGCCAATGACACTTTAATCCCAGCCCCGTTGGCACGACTCCCATGGGCTCTTAATGCCACGAGCATTCAATTACCGCGCAACAGTGCTGGTAGTAGTACCACCAACCTTCACTCCCTTGCCGAGAATCACTGGCTGGGGCTTCCTGTGTTTACACAGACGTGTATGGATTTTTTTTTTTTTTTTTTTTTTTTCTTCATGTATTTCCTGTCAGAGTGTGATTTTTCGGAAGTAATTGCTGTTTTTTCTGTAAACATTTCGAGGGAATTTTTTTTCGCGTTTCATCTCGACGAATTGGTACGCAATGTTTGTCCTTTTGATTGATGGGATCGGTCGTTTTTTGCAACACGTGAAAAACCAAACCACAAAACTGGGGACGAACAATTTTTCCACGTTTTTTTTACGAGGCTGTGGTTTTTTTTTTTTTTTTTACTCGCAGTCATTTCGAAATGACGCTCCCGTCGACGCATGCGAGTCGCGCGAGTGCAGCTTCCAATTTCCAAAGTATCGACAAGCTAGCGAGTCAATCATCGGGGGAAAAGCGCCATCTCGTCCGTCCCGTTTTTCTTTAGCAAAGAAAAAAAAAGGAAGCCAAACTAGGGCGAATTTGCGTAATAACGCAATGCATGACTGTTTTTTTCTTTTTTTTTTTCACTGGTGGCCCTTTGATTACGACGTACAGTGGTACACGGGTGGGCTGCCATGAAAATTCAATCGGCAGCGGGGGGTGGAAGCAAACAAAAAAGCCACGCGAATGCGCGCACAAGAACACGCGCAAAAAGGGCAAAGAGAAAAGCAAAAAGCGATACGCGCGTACACGGGCCGACGGGGTCAGTGGAAAGAGGTTTCACTGCGCTCGATGGGAAATATTCCAAGTGGAAATGGAAATGAGTTCGAGTGGCGGCGAATGAAAAGTAAAACGCGATGGGCTGTAGTGGTGCTCCTTTACCCTCGTCCTCCTCATCCTCCTTCTCGACGGAATTAATGACCACGCACGAGAGGGAATTCCCGATCGTTTGGCCGATGAATAATGATGGCGATGATTACGAAATAAAAACATACATTTCTCGTGAATGCGAGTTACATATTTATATGTTACTGCAAACAAAAAATATAAAAAAAATCATACATTTTCGTTTACTTGTCCATTCCTGAGGTTACATGATCCAATCACATGTACATATAACGGGTGTCCTCCAAACCCGAAAGGGACGGAGAATGAAATAAATAAACATAGTTGCAACTTTCAGGAATACCAATCGGTGGTTTGCTATCAGCGAGTGAAAACATACATAATTGGCAAATCGGGCCCAGAGAAAGCAATACCGATTAAAATTCAATAAAGCGCCGAGGGATCATACTTTTCGAGAGATCGAAGATAAAAAACAAAAGTATACGACCGAGTTATTATTTTACTATACCCGCGGTGTTCACCGCATAGCCGGCAAACTCGATTGTTAACAGGCAAAAATGCTGTCGAAAGCCTTCGCCGTGTCCCCTCTCAATTGAATTTCGATCTGTCTACATATCTGTATATACACACCATCTGCGTATCCATTTACGGTAACTCGAGGCAAAACAAAAATACTCGCGGAGCTTCCGGTGTAATTGTGATCCACCGATTCTCCGATAATAGCCGTGGCGGCCTCCCCCCACCCCCTGGATATCAGAACTCGTTCGTACCGGCTGCCATTAGACCGTAATAAACGTGTGCGCGGGCTTTTCCGCCTTTGTGTACCGCACACACTCCGTGCACACTGTGCATATATATGCCGCCTCTCTTTTTACGGCGAGTGTAATGAAAATGAGTCCGAGCGTGTGCGGGTTCGAATGTAAAATGAAAAAAAAAAAAAAGAAAAAAAGAAAAGAGCCCTATCGGGAAGAAGTAGAGCACTGCGGTACGTGTGTGTCTATAATGTACGTGGAGGGACGATATGAAAATAATGAAAGCGAAAAGAGCAAAAGGGAGGAGGAGGAGGTGCAGGAAGGAGTAGAGGTTTGATGCGAAAGAATCCAGCGGCTCGCACGAGGTCCCCCTTTGCGTTTAAAGGCGCCGACCTGGATACGAGAGAGAACTCGTGGCCCTAAACAAGGAACACGTATCTTTTTCCTCCCTCCCTCCCTCGTGTTTTTCTCTTCGTTTCTTTTGCCAGCCCAAGTTTGATAAGTTGCGCGTATAGGCTTCTTGTCGAAACAACGCGCTCCCCGAGGGCAGAGTAGCGCAAGTGCCTGTACCCTATACGTACTCTTGTGCCCTAGGTTTTCTTTCGCCACCACTGCCCGACTTTTTTTACGCTTTGTGTGTGGCGCGGATGAGACTCGCAGTCGATCGGAGCTAGCATATATCGCCGCCGGTCATCCGTATCGCGCCACACGAGGGACGACGCGAGGGAAGTAAGGAAGAAAAACGCTTCTTCTCGGCCCCGAGGATATTTATTTGTTCCCCCGCGTGCTGCCCCCTGTACGTATATATATACCTACGTACGTGTGTACTTTACGCTGAGTAAATGCTTTTATACATTCGTACTTCATCACAGTGGCTTTTTCTACTTTTTTTTTTTTTCTCTCTCTACCTCCGAGTTTTTCACCAGCGCGCGAAATCTCGCTTCTCCGTCTTTTTTTTTTTTTTTTTTTTNACTTTTCCTACCCTCGCCTCCTCGCCACTCTTCCTCGAGGCTTCGAGTGAAAAGGGGGTGAAAACTAGCGGTAAAAGACAATCCTTTTCTCTTCTCTGCTGTCTACGCCTCCGCTTACCCCGGGGGAACTGAAAAAGAGGAGGAAAAAAAAAAAAAAAAAAAAAAAAAAAAAAAAAAAAAGACAACCACGAGAGGCGCTCGAGTCGTTGGGCTTGCGGGGTTGTAAAACGCAGTCGCGAGTCGCGTGTCGATTGTTTCGGAGCGAGGGGCAAAGCACCGACAGTCATCGTTGTAAAATCGAAGGGGGAGCTTCTTATTTTCTCCCTTTTACGGGGAGTCCGGGTGTATAGAAAAACGGGGGTGTAAAGGGAGAAAAAGAGAGTCAACGTACTCGGGAAAATGCTGTGTGGGGGGGGGGGGGGGGCGCTTCTGCGGCGGCATCTACGATTCCATTCTCGTCACTGCACAATTGATATTGAACGAGAAGATATTCTCGGGCTGAGAGGAGCGAAAACGCGCGCGTGATTCGACTGAGCAAATCGTCGTGAGCCACCACCACCACCACCACCCGCCGTATCTCGAGCCCCTGCACGTGTGTGTGCATCGAGGGTATACACCGTTGGGGAAAACGAAAAAATAATCCATACAGAGAGAGAGAGAGAGAGAGAGAGTCAACACTGGAGCCAATAAATTTAGATTTATCCGTGGTATCGAGAGCTACTATTGAAANTGTGTACTTTACGCTGAGTAAATGCTTTTATACATTCGTACTTCATCACAGTGGCTTTTTCTACTTTTTTTTTTTTTCTCTCTCTACCTCCGAGTTTTTCACCAGCGCGCGAAATCTCGCTTCTCCGTCTTTTTTTTTTTTTTTTTTTTCTCTCTTCTAGTTTTCTTTGCTCGCGGGAGGAAATGGAAAAGTCTCGTATATTCGAGGTATACATTGAAGCTCGGGCGCGAGCTTTTATTTCGAATTAAAAATTTGTAAAAAAAAAGCCACATCCTCGTCCTTGCGCGTATGTCGAGGGTATTTATATTTTGTTCTGCCGCGCGAGTGATGGTTCATTGTTTCGAGTCGCACGACCCTATGCACGATGTTTCAAATTTTTCGACTTTATGAACATGCCGAGGCTCAAAAAAGCGCCAACTAATTTTTTCGCTCACATTACTATACCCTCCCGTCGTATAGGGCGTGTTATTTGACTCGAGCATTTTTTTTCGTCCCATATATCACTAAATATTCGCAAAAGTATGAAACAATTTTGCCAAAATGAGGAAAAAATAATTCATCAGCGTTATTAAAAATTCCGTCGCTTGCTCAAACTCGCTTCTGTAATGGATCCATGCTATCGTTTTTCGTAGATGGTAAAACTGCTTGTTTTCACAACAATCAATTTCTCTCGATTACTCGCAGAATCCACTTAACGAAAGTATTCCCGTTTGTATTTGAAAAACTTTTAATTTGAAAAAAGTTGGATATGCTTTTTTTTTTTTTTTCCTGAAAAACTCAAAAAAACCAGGTTGCACGACGCATTCGACCTCACGGAAACCTTGGGACGTAGTGCTAGCCCATCAAGCCAAAAACGTCTCATCCATGCGTCTTTTTTCTACTCCTACACGGTGTCTCTTTATACACATGTATAGCTCCGCGCGCGCACTTGTCGCCCTTTACCCGAGTTAATCCAGCCGGCGCAGCTGGGGCTCTCGAGAGCACCGCCCGACCCTGCAAATTTAATAAGGAAAACGCCAGCCTTGGACGGAAGAAAAGCGCCGGCTGGCTTGCGACCGCGTGCATATATATATATATATATACGTAGCTTTTTGTCCCGGAATTTCGAGCGGTGCCGGGACACGCGCGCGATTTATACCAACACCCATCGGCATGGGTCCCCTTTTATCTCACGCGGTATTTTTTCTTCCCCGTGGCCCTAGGATCTGGAGAGAAATCCCCGGCGCTCGAGATAAAACTCTGGCGGAACAAAAGAGTTTAGTGACCCCTCCCCCTCCTTCCTCTGGGTGTGTGTGGCGAGGAAAAAGTCTGCCCCCGGCATATACCGGAACGAGATTTCCGGATATTTTACGGGCCCCCAACGACGGCGAGGCTTTTTGCGCCTTCCTTGCGTTATTGGGTTTGTTACTTTGAAGTAAAGGTGTTTGAATCGACTACCAACCGACACGAGGAATGGAGCGATGTGGTACAGGTAATAAATTAAAATTTACTTTAATTTCATTAAGGTGTTGACTACACATGCTACATTGGGGTATAAGGCCACGAGGTGATTATTCTAATTCTGCAAGATACATATCTCTTTGGCTCATTGTCATTATTGTGCTGGAGTATTTTCTGGAACAGAGCCATAATTGTGATCTACCTGGGGAATGGACTGCAGTGGAGGTCTTAGCTGGCAGGTGTGTGAGGTTGAAAGGGGGGAGTAGTCGGGACGGGTCAGATGATCCACAAACAACAAAGTGTTCATTCAACTCCCCCTTCCTACCACTCAATCGTATATATGTGTATACGGAGGGTGATGTATCGGACAAATAGCTCATTCTATTTATCAATATTGTAATAAACTCAACTAGACCGTACGAGCTCCAAGCTCATGCATAAATGTATCTGGGTGAAGAAAAAAAAAAAAAAAAAAAAAAAAAAATAAGAGTGATTCCTTAAATTTAACATCCATTCCCGCGTAATTGAGTAGTTATCATAACGGTAAATTGCTTGCCATAAATTTCCATCGCATCTCGTTATAAAGTATACATCCATCACTCGTAGACGAATTCTGCCAAAACTTTATATATGAATGACAAGTGTACAACTCCATCATTCGTATAGTCAAACCTCGTAATTACATTTTAATTGCTCGCGATAAACCTGTCCCACTGTTCTAATTATTCTTTCGTGTGATTCAACGGGTGATTAATTTTACCGCGGTACCAATAAAACTTGGGCTCATCACTGGTCGTCATTCCCGTTTTTTTTTTTTTCCACCGCGTGGTCGTTGCCTTGTACATACAGAAGAGGAGAAAATAAGCTCAAAGCACTCGCGCGGACCGAGGTGTGCGGGGAGGAGCTGTTTGCCGAGGAAAATTGAGCTCCGCGCTCCCGATTAAAAATAACGAGGGCGCGTGATTTGGTTCCGTAACGAGCCTCCCTGAGGGGCTATGTGTGTATACTTGCGTGTAATACACATTATACAATATATAAGGCTCGGCTACACGACGCCAGTACGGTATGTATACATACGTGCACGTATATAACAGGCGTTTCGTGTTTTCACGCCCCGACGAATCCGAGTCGGCTTGTTTGCGGGCGCAGTGCCACACGCGTCATCTGGCAGGGATATACATATGCGCCGAGAGGAATTTTCCCTCCCCTGTATATACGGGAGCTCGCGGTATACACAAGCTGCCTCCGTATACGACGAAGGTTTGTGCACCTGACGGGAAATCTGGTACCTACATATGTACGTATAAGCGTGGCTTTGTCGAGCGATTAGCTTGTATGCATGTACGTACCTGTATATCGACGTCGGCGATCCATCGCGGTCCTCGCGAAGCCAGAGTATGAGGTGCGGCGAGTCGTCCTTCTGGCTCGGCGATATGTTGCACGGCAGGAAACTCGGCTTGCCGACCAACGCCACCACCCGCTCCAACGGCACTGCAACACACGTACATATATACATCGTTAGGTACCCATTGTTTATTATTTATATAGGGTGTACGATTTGAGTTATCCAAATCCTACGATATACACGATATACTATTTTCAGTGGTATTTAATTTGTGGCTTCGATCATTGTCGTGCATGCGAATAAAATCTGTGCCATGAAGGAAATTTCGATAGACACTCCCCCCCCGCGATTGCGCACGTGCGACATGTATGAAAAATCCTCAATTACCCGCCTTGAGATTCAACGAGCTTGCCATAATTCGACGTAACAAGCGTGAATCCGCTCAAGCATCCTCCGAGGCAGTAGTAATACACCCGTCGCCGTCGCGTATGTATATATATACATTACATTACAGATGGAGAGAGAGAGAGAGACGCGATCAAACGACTGTGTGTATATATATACACGAGGTGCCCCCCTCGAGAATGGCTGGCAGTCGCATTCGCCAATTTCACGCACTGATGCTTGACAAATGCAACTCGGGCGCCTATACATGCACTCTCCGTTCCCGTTATCGTTCTCTCTCTCTCTCTTTTTTTTTTTTCTTTTACTTTGCTTTTCTACTCATCCGTCAACGCTCGACGGTGCATCTCCCTCTGCCCGCATTTTTCCCCGCAGTAGACTGAATTAACCGCGTGCTTGCGCTCTACTCCATTGTCTCTCATACCCTTTTTTTTTCCACCGTATTCCCTCTACATCTGCGCGCGTGTTTTTTGTTGTTGTTTTTCAATGAAATACCCGTGTGTCTTTCGACGCCCCCTCGATTTTCATCGCCAGCGCGTGTATAGCATATATATTGTACCTGCAGCGGCCGGGTCGTATGCGCGCGGGGTGGAGCGAAGAGGGAGTTTGTCGATTGTCGCTCGTATACATTGTTGCGGCGACAGGCCTTTCAACAATATTATCCGAGAGCTCTATAGCCCCGGCCCTCGCTCGCCCCGTCGGCCATTGCCGACGCCATTGCGGTATTTCGGTGTGTGGTGGTGATGTATTATCGCTCCACAATTCCTCGTTAAATCAGCCAGCACCTCCTACTCCTCGTTTTCTCGCGTGTGCGTGTGTGTTGGGTGCGCGTAACACACGGGAAACGCGCGGAGAAAGAGACGAAGCTGCCGCGGTTGAACAAAGAGCCGCCGCCAGGATCAATGCTCCACTGGCTCCCTCATATGGGGTGTAAAAATGCCTTCTCCGGTGTGCATCATGTATTATACTCTCTCCCTCAGTTACCCACTGTATTTGCAAGTACTCGCGTGTACATGCATTATGTGCACCATATCTGCGATTCCCGATTTCGCCCTCTTATTAAAAATTCCTCGTTCAAGCATCGTGTCACACGATGACGCGCCGTTCTCGAGAGCTATAACGTTGGCGTGGGTACATGTACGGCGACGCGCGGTGGCAGCAAATTTTCCTGTTAATTAAAATAGCGTTATAAATACTCGGGTCGTCAGCCGGACTGGAAATTTTAATGGGAGACCGCGCATTCCACCGCGGCTGTGTGTACCCGTTGACGTGTGTAGCGACGGCGGTAAACAACGGGTGCTTGTGAATAATTGAACGGACAAACAATTTAAAAAATACATTAGCGCCTTGTGGGGCGGCGAAGCTGCGCCTTTTCCCTCCACCCAGGAAGGGTAATTTTTTCGCAAAACCACCGAAAAACTAGTCTCTGGTCGCGAGAACTCGGGGGAAAGGGGAATTGTAACCATGCGCTCGTATAAATTTTTGCCATAATCAACGCAAAATGTACACGTTTCCACTGCAGTAGGGGATAAAAAACAACTGGGGTGGGGTAGTAACTTTATTTTTTTTTTTTGCCAATGTCTCGGAGCGTGTTTGCAAAAAAAGAAAAAGAAACCTCCAACGCATCGTAATGAAGAAAAAACAAGGCTGGATAAGAGAGAACAAAGAGCTTCTGGTGGCAGAGCGACGTCCCGAAAGAAAGGACTTTGTACAAAGTAGCAAACAAAGGACATTGTGGAAAGGCGCGCATTGACGTTCGGTGTGGGCGACAGGAGACGAGGGGCCCCCGTAAAATAGGATTCTATCCCTGCCAAGTCAACACGTTCGATCAAACAGCGGATCCGGCTACGACGCAACCGAGCACGACCACTGTGACACAGAGAGCCTATCTTCCTCCTCCCGTGTGGGGGTGTACGTCGGGACACCGTCTCTGTCGTCCACTACAAATTGAAATTGGTCAAATAAACTTGCCCACGAGGAGGAGTCTCCGCTGGGTCTCTGCTGCGGCGAATAAATACACACACACGGCCGAAGCAGTCCTCGTCCTCTCCCAATGAACGCCCGAATGGACACTGTACTCTCCCGTTCTCGTAATTGACTGGCAAACGCGAGCCCATTTCCGGGACCGACTTGCGACGCAAATGAGGCGATTTAATAAAGCACCCACTCCACTGCGCCCATATGGACTCGACCATTGCAGCCTCTCTCGTTGCGCACAAATGGTTTTGATTTTATCTCGCGAGCCAATCACCCATCAATTTTTCGTAACTTTTGGCTCGGAGATCGATAAAATCACATCCGGTCTTCAAACGCGTCATTTCGAGGAGATTAAACCTGCCAACGGCTCAGTCGCTCGCGTGCAATGATTTTCCAAAAAAAAAAAAAAAAAAAATGCACAGCATATAACCGATGCTGCACGGGGGAACGTCAAAGCCATCCCCAAGAACCCAGGGAAAATCAGCGAAGCGGAAATGACTATACCCCTTCTCCTCCTCTGTTGTCGAGTCTCATATATACGTCCATATATTTATGTACTCGATCACGCGTTTCTTCAATTTGACACGTCGATCGGTTGCGCGTGTCTCTTTTGTGAAATGTACCCCGTGCACACCTGCAGACACGTGTATATCCATACACGTGTATTATTATACCTTTTGCGCTTATACCGATGACGCAGGTGTATAAGAAAATTGAGCCATACGGCATCTATGTATACACGTACGTGTCTTCCTCCATCGCATTGTCGCGGCTCTTCTCTCCCGCATCTTTCGCCAGGCAGAGTTCGTTTCTCCGTAAGCTCGTATATGGATATATATATATATATATATATATACCTCTCGGGAAAACGAGGCCTTGGAGAATTTTCCTGGTTTTCGCGCGCAGAGGCGTACGGGACGCGCGCGCGAAATTGGATCTTTCGCGGCACTCGTGTCAATAGCGCCGTGAGAGCCCCTCGAAATATTGGCTGGTGGCTCTTTGGGCGCCGACGATACAGACGATATTTCGCTTTGCTTTTCGTGCCCTGTTTGGGTGGCGCAATAAAAGAGAGCAACCATCAGCGATGCTGGGGATATGCTCCGAGGACGTGCTTCAACAATGATCGATCCTTCACTTCTCGCGAGTGAATATAATATATATATATATATACACTTTGGATTAGAGAACGCGATATATTAAAGCAGTTGAGTGTGTTGATGTAACAGCGACGACGACGCGGGTAATAAAGGGACAATTAACGAGACGGAAAATTCCAAGGTAGAATTTATATGAAGCGTAATGGAGACGGATGAGTGCGCTTCGCAGTTGGCCGTGAGGGCCGAACAAAAGAGAACGCGTCGAGAAAAGAGGCCATAACAGGCAGTTGCCTGCTGTGTTACAGCAAAGAGGAAGAAAGCCGGTGGGGGAAGGCATCGGGGGCGCGCGAGCCTCACTTCAAACTAATTATCAAAGTTAAATTCGAGCTCCGAGGAGGGCCGGGACTCTCCTCCCGGTAACTGGCGATGGCGGAAAGAGCGGAGTGGCTACACGGTATATCAGTTTTCGCGGAGAAGGAATGCACTGGCACTTTTGGGACGTCATATTTCGAGCATCACCCCCCCCTACCTGTCTTCATTTTCCCACTCCGTGCACGTACTTATATATGTACGTAGGTATACGAGACTCCACGTGACTTTCTCTCGGCATCGCGCTCCAAGTGCATATACTCGTCGCACACGAGTTACACCACAGCGATAAGACGAATGCGAGCTTTGCCCCGTATGGTCGTCGTGCGTGTGTGCGAGTCGTAGGCGTTTAATGACCCCGCACACCGAGGCCGTCATCTCTGTCGCGTATAGGCACGTATATAATAATGTGTGTATGCATGCATGTATATCCCCCTCCCCCCTCTTGGCTGTGTAAAGTGTATACACGTTCAAAGGGTCGTTGTGTCTCACGAGGTTCCGTATACGCGCGCTTGTGTCTATACGTGCGTCAAAAGGGCGACGATAAACTGCACGTAGAGAGAGAGAAAGAAAGAGAGAGAGAAGGGGGTATGTACCCCCTACATTGTACAGCATATTATATGGTATCCGTCAAACCCCTCGACTAGTCGTTGACGTCGTCATATGGCTGCTATTTTGGTTGCGTGGCGGCGATAGCTGCTCGCTCGGGCATAGTCGAGCGATAATCTCGACCGTCGCGTTCGAGCGAGCGCTCCCTGGGTTAAGGGCCCTCTCACTCCCCCCAACCCCAACTTTCCCTACATGTTGTGTAGACACCGACACACCGGACGTGAGGCATGCTGTGGGTGTGTGCCTATACATTTATACCTAATACGTGTGAACGTATATAGATTTTTTTTTATAAATATTCTACGAGTTTGTATAAGCACTGCAGTCCGGCGCATTACTGGAATTACGAAGAAATTGCCATATTTAACGAGTCGGCGTATATCGGGCGACTTCGATCGCTCGGGAGTGACTATACGTATACGTGCATCGCTTTGTAAATAAATATGTACTGCAGTGCATACACGGGTGGCGGAGTATAGGAAGAGAGTGAGAGAGAGAGAGAGAGAGTAGCGGCAGCGAGGTAATGCCGGTGATAAGTGGACTGCTCGTGTACATTTTTTCCAGGCGATGTGTAGAGCAGCGTTTTTTTTTTTGTTTTTTTTTAGAGCCGTCGTAAAATATTTACCGCGGCTGACGTTTATTTCATAGACGCCGCGGGAAGATTTTTTTACGAGAGCACACCTTTTTTTTAC